GTACATATCTGTATCGTCGCCCGGCTCCTTCTCCGTTGCCGCAGGTGCCTCCGGGGAGCTGCATGGATTTACCGTGCAGCTGTTGGAAAACAGCCGTGGGCGACTTCGGGCTCGTTCCATTACCCTGGGCAAAGCAACGGTGGTGATCCTGCGGGTTGGGGAGCTTGACGACATGCTGCGCTTCATGGAAGAGTCGCGGAGGGAAGGGGAAACGTCTACTGCCCCGTCACCGTTTTCAGCGCAGCAGCACTCTCATGTTTACCGCTATCCGTTGCATGAACAGGAGAATAACGTTCATGAGGAATCGTTGAATGCGCTCTTTGTTGCTGTGGGAAGCGATACTGGCTACAGTGCGGTTACACTCCTGCGCATTGCAGCGCTTGTGAGCGAGTTGTGTCTTTTCCTCAACATTGATCCTCACCGTGGCGGCCCGAATGCTCCAGTGTTAAAACAGATTCTTCTCTACATGAATTCCCGCCTCATGCAACACGACGTCTCGCTACTGTGCCAGACAATTGAACGGCTTGTGCGTCCCGCCATCATTGCGACGGGCTTTGCGAGCGATGGCGCCAGCAGTCTGTTAGACGACTTAGCGCGTCAGTCTCTCCAGCAGGATGCGACTGGCTGCCGGCTGCCAAATTACATTGCTGTGCTGCTTGGCCACAAGCTTGTTTTGGAGACCTCGCCGCGGTGGAGTGAGGAGACGGCGAAGGCAGGCGGTGTTGAGCATGTGAAGTTGCACGATTCGGATCGGTACTTGGCTCACCTTGTGACCTGCGCCTTTTTTTCCACGCCCCTGCTGCACGGCTGCTATGAAGTCTCACCTCAGGAACAAAGGCTGCAAGCACTTGAGCGGCGACTGCGGCGGTTTGGCATTCATCGTCACAATGTGAGCCGTCTTGCCGCGCGGAGGGCCATTCAGACATACGCGCAGGCATTAAAAAAAGGGGACGTTAATGAAAGTCGCCGTGCGTTCTTTTTTGAAAATGCCTACAACGAGTTACTGGCAACTATGAATCGACAGAAACCGACGTGTGGGACGAACAAATCCCCCACCGCACGTTCCCCGTCTGTGGCCTTTAATGAATACCACCAGAAGGACATGGACTTTAATGCCGTAGAGGGTCGGACATTTGAGCTGGACAATATCTGTTTTCGTAACTCCGATTTTGTTGGCTTCATGCAGCTGCGATGGATTCCGGCGGCAGGCCCACACCAGCAGGATAGCGGCGATTTGGAGGACGAGAACCCCCTCATGGAAAAGTGTCCCCATGGCTACGGTGTGTTTCTGCTGTATCTCCCGCCGCAGAGTGCACGTGAGCAGGAGTCTTGGCGTCGTTCTCCTACAACGGCAGATAGGCCTGTGTTTGCGCAGTTCACACGAGATGTCCTTGGTAGCATGGAGACGAGCTTTAACTGCTTTCAGTGGCTACTCTCTCCACCGGTCGACGCGTATGAAATCCCTGGGCTGATTCATTTTGTTGTTGTCGAGCGCCGAAGAAATGGGGGTGTTGTTGCCAGCTTTCATCGCATGATGCATCAGAGGCCTGCAAATGTACAGGACGCGGTGGTGACGCTACGGCGGCTTGTTGCGCTGAACATCAGCCGCGCCCACTCATTTTTACAGGCCGGGTACTCGGAGGGATTGTGGGGCCACCTCGGGATGCAGTTCTTTTATTCCGTCTGCAACTTCCACGATAGCCCAGGGAAAGTGGTCAACTCGCCGTTACAAACACCGCAGGCTCCGCGTCTCGTGAAGAGGAGGCCGTTTTTCTTTTTTGGCGGCGAATCGTCTACGTCAACATCATCATACGTGCCAACAAGAGCCACCTCCACGGTATCGTCGCAGCAGGCGGCAATGTCATTCGATGACTCAACGGCGTCGGTAAAAGGCGCGGATTCCCTTTGGGGCTCACTTGACGGACGATTGAAGTTACCCGCGGCCACTTTGCCTCACCTGGCGTTGCGACCGATGTTAATTCCGGACTTTACGTGTGACGAACCGGCGGGGGTTTGTGTTATGGAGGTGTACGCTGTGTTTGTGGGTGCCATGTCACCTGCTGATGTATGCAGGGAGGTTGAGAAACTGCTGCGCAGCCGTGTTGTGCCGTTGTGAGGTGTCCACCGAAAACGGGATTGTAACTGCTGCATCCTCACCTACTCCCGCTTTTTCCTCCCCCCTTTTCATTACGATATTTTGTTGCTCCTTCCCCCGTCATTTCTTTCCTGCCATTTGCTCCAATTGATATTTCTAGTGTGTGTGTGTGTGTGTCTTGTTTCATGCCAGAGGCACATTTTGCTTTTTTTTCTTTTTATTTGTTCATTGGCTTCATGTTTTGCGAACACAAATGGTACTGATCTCACGCCTGAGTAATTTGAGAGGTTGATGGGGGAAGAAAGTCATCTGCAGGAGGAAATGGATGATGGCGGGCTGCAGGAAGAGACGGCTGCGGAGCAGGGTGAGATGGCATTTGCTGGGGGACAACCGCCACAGCCAAATAAAAGCATCTTAGACGATGTTTGGCTGACACATGTGGGGGCGATAATTGGGGTCGCGTGCTGGTCGCTTGCGGGAACGGCATTGCGTCTGGCGATAGAGCAGACATTTGTACGTAACGCCGTTCTCACCACCTACACCACTTACGGCCCGAACTGTATTGGCTGCTACCTGATGGGTTTTATAGCATCACTGGCATCCAGCAAGTCACAAAATGCCATTTTTCCATGGATCTTCCGCAGTCTTCTTGTCGGTTTTTGCGGTTCCTTGACAACCTTCTCTAACTGGATGCTTGACACCGTGAGACAAGAGCGCGTTGCTCTGTGCTTTGGTGAGCTTGTCTCTGGCCTGACAATGCCTTTTGTTTTTTTTCTTTGGGGCCGTGACACCGCTTTTTTATTACGGGCATTTATTATGCCGTCGCTGGGTTGCATAATTGGCACAAGTGCTAGCCGTTACGAATTAGGAGGGAGACAAATGCGCCTCGTCAACGTCATATTTCTTTTCGTGTCGGTTGTAGCCGCGGTGGCGGTTCCCGTTGCGATTGAGGCGTCTGTGCATCGTCACCTGTTGAACGTGAGTTTCATTAACCGTCGTTCTGTTGTCATTTCTCCTCTCGGCGCCGTGCCCCGCTACCTGTTGGCCCAGTTGTTGAATGGAAGCAGTCGCTTTTGGAACTTCCCGATCGGCACATTCGCCGCAAACATGATTGCGGTTTTGCTTATGGGGTTGCTGGATCATTTCTACCGAACTGGGGGCAATGTTTGGTGCAAAATTGCGATGGATGGGCTTTGTGGATCGCTTTCGACAGTTTCTTCTTTTGTCAATGAAATGATTGGGTTTTACAGCTCTGACAACCGCAGGTTGATGTACATATATGCAATAATATCCGTGGCAGTGGGGGCCGCACTCATGAGCGTATGTCGTCATGTTTTTTAATAGCGGCTAGGGGAGCCTGTGAAGAGGATGTTTGCGAGGAATGCTGGCCGCGGAAATTGATATATTTCTTGATAAGAACGAAGATTATTTTTTATTGACGATTTTTTTTTACCTGTGTTGTTAATTGTTTTGTGAAAACCGACGATGGACGCAATCAGAGAGCCGATGCCGGTAGGACGAATATTTTCTTTACTTTTGATTTTTCACTTTCCGTTCCACTCACACCCTCCTGCGATGCTCGCCTCGCGGTGGGGTCTTGTGGCTGGAGGATCCTCAAAATCCTACCGCCTTATGAGTCGTAATATTTACAATTCTAACAATGTGCCACATGCTACGTGAGCGACAATACGAATGTAGATGTGTGTATATGCGTGTATTTACTTGAAGCAGGCATTTAGGCGAAACCCACTGCTTCCTCTTTTACCTTCTTTCTTTCCCGCCCCTATTAATTTACTTTACATAAGTTTAGGATCTGGCGAGCAGCCCAGACAATTATTTTCTGCCAATTGTACAATTGGCGAGTAAGCGTAATAGCTTGTCTTCTTTATTTTTTATGGATTTCTTGTTAGATAATTTGGTGTCTCTGAAGGTGCCCTGTGTGCTCCGTGGCCGAACGAAGTGGAATGTGTCATTGACCGCCCCCTGCCCCCGTGGAGCGTGTCACTCCCTGCACTCGACCCGCGTGCGGGAGGTGGTTGTGGAGTCAGTGGGCGCCCGTTGCGTTGTGCTGCGTGTGTGCTGGGCCGTCAATGATCGGTGTGTGTGAGTCTGTGTTTCTGATACATTTTATTCTGTTAATTGTGCGATTGGGAGATGGAGGGGATTCAGCGCGTTTTTGTGTGTGTGCGTTGCTTGCTTCGACTTTCCCGCGCCAGAGCCCTCACCTCGCGGTTGGGAGCCGCCGGGGATGTATTCTTGTGTTTTCGTGTGATTTATTTGTGAACGGAGCGTCCCACGGTGCGACTTGCCGTCGGTGCCGATGGTGTGGCTCTCGGTGTGTGGAGAGTGCGTGCCGTGACGCTCGCCCCGCCGCCGATGCGCCGAGCGGGCGGGACAACGCCAGTGGCACACGGCCTCTGCTTGTTGGCGACGCAGCTGTCCTTTTTCCCCCTGCTTGTGTTCTCTTGTAGCAGACTGCAGAGTGTAGGGGCGTCGCGGGCGGACGAGAAGCAGACGACGGGTGGAATTGCTGGTGGGCGGCGGGCTTGCGGCGGCTCCTTGCGTTGTGCGGGGCGCTGGTGGTCTTCATATCACTCCAGAAATTAAACCATATGCACGTGTAACGCTTTCGTTTGCTGTGCGGTGTTCTGAGCCGCCCCGTGCCTGTCAACCATTTCTTTGGGCAGGTGTAGCTGGGGCCGTGAGGGCGGTGTGAGGAGGAAGCGCAGCGTCCCACAGGCGCCAGACGAGCCCTTGCGGTGTTTCCCGTGCCTCCTGTGCGCTGGTGTCGCCGCCCACGCTGACGCCGCTCGCTCCGCCGCCCTGACCCCTTCACCCGCACCGTCCCGGATTCGGGTGGGGCGCAGTGGGTTGGCTGACGGGCATTCGTGTACTCGCGTGGCCGTGTTGTTTCTTGTTGTCGCCCGTGCTGTTTTTGTGTGCTGCCTGCTGCCCCCACACTCCCTCCGCCCTTTTTTCCTTTGCCTAGACTCTCACACCAAGAGCGACCATGGCGAAAACGAAGCTGCCGACGATGAAGCGGAAGCTAAGGTGGGTTGCCGTGCTGCTGATTCTCTTCATTGCGGTCACGACTGTTCTGTCCCTCAGCTTTGTCCCCGCTGACGATGATGGTGCACCGGCACCCAACAACCTCCGCCACCCGCGAGCCTCCGCAGTGGACGACGCAGCGCTTGCTTACATCCCACGCCGTGTTGTGGACACGTGGAGCCGGCGGGAGTATCTGGTTGTGCTGGGCATCCCCTCCACCGACGACGAGGCGAGGCGAACACGACGCAACCTGCAGCGGACGACGTGCTGGCGGTTCCCCGGAGTGGCGACGAGGGCGAACGACTTCACCGGTGCGATGCTTGTGCTGTACGTCCTTGGGCGACACCCGTCGCACGGCTACGACTACTCTGCCGCGCTGCTGGAGGAGGCGTCGCAGTGGAACGACGTGGTTGCGCTGCCAATGAACGAGGGCCGTGTTTCACCAGAGAAAAAAGTAGGTGTTGGAGGGGATTCGGGCATCGAGGCTTCTATTGGTATGACCCGAAAGACGTACATGTGGTTTGACCTTGCGCACCGCCTGTTCCCGACCGCGAGGTACATTGCGAAGGGCGATGACGACATTTTCCTCCGTGTGCCGCTGTTTGTTGCTCACCTGCGCCTACTGCCGCGCCGAGGGATCTACATGGGCGTCCATGCAGGAGATTCATTTTTGGTTAAGAAATGTTTTCTACATGTGGCGTTTATTGTAGGATATTGCTACACCTTGTCGAGGGATGTGGCGGAGGCGTTGGTGTCGTACGAACCGCTGCGGCGCCTGGCATACTTGCCGTACAGCAAGGAGCGTGATGACGAATTTGCACTGCTGGGGTTTTTGTACGAGGACGTAATGGTTGGTTTGGTTCTTGAGAAGGAAGTGAAGTACAAGCCGATGTTGTACGTCAAGGTGCTGGGTTGTCATTTCCATGACGCTCGCAATGGCACGGGGCACTCGCAGGTGGTGCCGACCTCGATGTGTGTCCATCACGTGCGGGAGGACGACTACGCTGCACTGATGGCGCGCTTTGGCAACGACACATCGCCTGTTGCCCGTGTGGAACGGTACTCGGAGGAAGTGATATACCCGTCGTGCGATTGACAAATGGACGAAATGATCTGTTTCCTGTGCGTGTTGAATCCTAATTTATTGCTTAATTGGTTGCTGCACTCCGGTTCGTGCCCTGTGTGCTCCGTGGCCGAACAGCGTGGAATGTGTCATTGACCGCCCCCTGCCCCTGTGGAGCGTGCCACTCCCTGCCCTCGACCCGCGTGCGTGTGTGCTTCTGCTGGGGGCACGTGATGAGGATGTGCGTGTGTGTGCTGGGCCGTCAATGATCGGTGTGTGTGAGTCTGTGCTTTTTTACATTTTATTCTATTTTAATTGTGCGATTGGGAGATGGAGGGGATTCAGCGCGTGTTTTTTTTTGTGTGTGTGCGTTGCTTCGGCCTTCCCGCGCCAGAGCCCTCACCTCGCGGTTGGGAGCCGCCGGGGATGCATTCTTGTGTTTTCGTGTGGTTTATTTGTGGGCGGAGCGTCCCACGGTGCGGCGGCTGTCAGTGCCGATGGTGTGGCTCCCGGTGTGTGGAGATGGCCCGCTTTTTTCATGTGTAGTTTGGTTCTGGCATTTTGGCATTTATTTTTCCTTTGTGTTTGTTTTTTCTGTGTGCTGCCCGCACGTCCACATTTCTTCCTGTTTGTTTTGTCCTTCTTTTCTTTTTTTTCCCGCCCCATTTCCGGGTGGGGAATTATTTGACCAGGCATCTCACCCGCGCTGTTTGTCTTGTTTTGTACGTGGCGGGGCGCCTTTATTTAGGCCGCTTGGGACGAGGCCGCACGGCTGGCAAAAGGCGGTAATGAATGTAAGCGAATATCAGGGGCTGGACAACGGTTAAAACGAAAAAGGAAAATGGAGCGAAACGGCATGTGCGTGCGTGTGCGCGTGTATTTGACCGCGGTAGAAGCGAATGTGCGTTTGTTGTTGCGCCGTGGTTTGTGGCGCTCTTTTTGTCTTTTGCCGTGTACGTCCGTCCTCAGTTCTCTCTCGCCCGGCAACAGCGAGAGTACTGGAGTTTGTGGTGCCGGTCTGCACGCCCAACGTGCGTGGAGGACACACACTGAAACACAAACACGCGCGGAGGGGGAGGGCGGCGTGCGTGTTGAGGGACTTTGGCCCACTTTTTTTGCTGCTGACAGAAGAAAAAACAGACGACGCTTCGTTGCCAGGTGCCAACAGCCGCCGTCTCTCGGCCACGGTGCGGGTCGGAATTTGTTCTTGAGGGCGTGCCCTTTTTGGAGTCGCCGGATGTCCTTTCCAGCGACGATGAGGACGGCCTCGGCCTCTTCCGCAGATGTGCAATGGTCCATCAGCAGTCAAATAATAGACTCTCTGCGGCAGACAAATGGGGACGATGAGAAGACAGGTATTTGCTGTTGCTCTCCTTGGCGGTAGCGAAGTCGACGGAGACGAGGATGAGGAGGGGGACGCGTGGAACATTTGTGGGAGCAGCATCTATTGAAACGGGAGCGACAGCACTCTGGCAAGTCAGATATCTCTTTACAGAATTGCTGTGGCGGCCTCTCCCCCAGCCTCTGCCTGGAGAGACACAAGAACGCGACCGAGTGCACTGATGCAACCAGCCTCCACCGCACAGGAGGAGAACTGCTTTGCGTGTAGCGAGGACGTGTCCGCCGCCTCGGGGAAGGATGAGGAGCGCCTGCTGCAAAACCGCCTTTTCAATAAAGTCAGGAGCCGCTCTTCGGCACTCGTCACACTGAGTGGGAGTGGCCCCGGAATTTTCCGTGCGCAGGAGGGCTCACTGCATGGAAGCGTAAAGCCCCTGAGCGACCTCACGGATCGGATGGACAGTGGCGCAAGCCCTTTCCGTTATTCGAGCAGCACCGACGGGCACGCTGGAGTGGCGTCAACGGTGTCCCCCGTAGATGCTTTTCTGTGCTATCTCTCAGTAAAGGAAGGAAACTTTTATTTTTTACCTCGATGGCGGGGGAAGTAGCATGGCCGCAGCCGAACAGACGCCTCGGCACCGTCTCTGACCGCTCTGAGGCTTGCGGCTGCTCCTTGTCGGCACAGGAGTGCGGCCCATATACACTGGGCGAATGGATGTTCGCGTGGACCCCTGACGCGGAGTCTGTGGGGTGGAATGATTATCTTCAAGAAGACTATCTGGCACGGCAAAAAAGTGCCTTGACCACGCAGGCGGGGAGCTGGCGGCAACAGCAGCTGCAGTGCGGGGACAGTTTGCATCGTGTGCCCGTGGGGGAAGGACGACATGGCGCA